GAGAAGACAGGAGATGCATAGGTCAGAGACAAAGGACTGTTATTCAAGGTGTAGCAAGCAGTGTGAGCTTCATGTTGGTTCCCTTTGCTCCTCACGTCCCACATGGCCAATACAAAGGCAGGCCCAGGTTTGAACCATAGCTGAGAACACTATGCTTAAAGAACATAATTCTTCATGAGAGGATTGTAAGCAAACATGTCCAACTTTTGACCCACAAGGAGATACTATCTTTTTTCATATTGAACAGCAGATAAATCTTCCATTGCCCCAGAGGGAGACACTATATTTTTCAAGGCTGTGTGCTATATGAGCTTTTTTGAAAAGATCATCACAATTAAAAGCGTTCTGTGCATCTGACATAAGACATTCATGAGCACAAGATTCCCATGGAGAATCATCTTCTAACAACCTTTTGCACCTGCCTACTTTCAGGACAGATCTGCCAAATCTGCCTTGCTCTGCTGCATTTTATTTTATTTTATTTATTAAAAAAAATTTTTTTAGTATTTTTTACTAAATTTGTTTAGTATTTGTTTTGAAGGAGAGAGAAACAGAGTGCAAGCGGGGGAGAGGGAGACACAGAATCTGAAGCAGACTCCAAGCTCTGAGTTGTTAGCACAGAGGCTGACTCGGGGCTGGAACCCATAAACTGTGAGATCATGACCTGAGCCAAACCTGAAGCTTAACTGACTGAGCACTCAGGTGCCCCTCTTCTGCATTTTAAAAACTATGTGTCTGGAGATAAGACAGTTTTCTTATACTGCTACCTTCTTCCAGACTTACAGAAGTTTAGAATCCATATTTATTCTAAGATGACTTCTTTGATGTAATTATTATTTTGTACAGTTGCTTGTTTGTATTCATTTTATAGTCCATAATATTCTGTTGCAATACAGTGCCTATTATGGCCTAACTTGTCATTTTGTTTAGTATGTAGTTTCCTTTTCCCATTTCCTTTTTTTTAAATTTTTAACTTTTTTCTTTTTTCTGAGAGAAAGACACACAGACTCTGAAACAGGCTCCAGGCTCTGAGCTGGCTGTCAGCACAGAGCCCGACGCGGGGCTCAAACCCACGAACCGTGAGATCATGACCTGAGCCTAAGTCGGACGCTCAGCCGACTGAGCCACCCAGGCGCCCCTCCTTTTCCCGATTCCATCCTCAGTGCTAAGTTGTACTGGTTGTTGTGCCTTCACTAAGGCATAATGATACTCAGCTTTAGAAGCTCTCGAGATACCCAAGAATGTTTTCTATGTTGAAAGATAAGATGCTGAAAGAGACAGTGATTTTTGAAGTCCTTTCAGGGGCAGTGGCTGTTACAGTTCCTCTTGCCCATAAAACAGAGCTCTTCTGTCTTCTGTTAGAATGTGTGTTGCCCCTGCCCCTCTGGCTGTTTCTAAGCCATACTACTCCTTACTTCTCCTAGCTCTCTTCTGTCCTTCTCTTTACTTCTCTCTACATCACTTCTTTCTTATCAGTCCTGCCTCTGATTGCTTCTCCCACAGTCTTGTACAAAATGTTGGGCCCTTTTGGCCATACTAATCAGAATGTTTCTTACTTTACAAAGGCACACCAGTCAGTCATCATAAAATTGACAGAAAAAAAAAATGACAGGATTGTTTGCAATTGTCCATGTCTGTTTTGTTCTCACTATACATTCAGTATAATAAGCACTCAGTATGTGTTGAATTAATGAGTACTTTTACATCATTCTTTTCACTAGCATTGCCTTATATGGAGCGTCAATGGAGATTTGATGGTTATTAACTTCTGTATTTAAAGTTGGTGTTCAAAGGTTACTGCCCTTTAGATAGAGGTTTAATTTTTTCCCTTTCCTTTTGAAATTTGACAGTTTCCAATTTCAAAATTATTCTGAAAGCCATAAAGCAGATTTTTGGTTGTTTGAAGTGGCATTAAACTTAAAAAAAGTAATGCTCATTTGGATTTATATTTTAATACATATATGTAAACAATATAAATCATTTAATATTTTATACTTCTTGCTTTTATGCCTCCTACAATGATTCTTAAATAATGCTCATTGTAGGGGTACCTGGGTGGCTCAGTCAGTTAAGGGTCCAGCTTCAGCTCAGGTCATGATCTCACAGTTCGTGGTTTCGAGCCCCACATCAGGCTCTGTGCTGACAGCTTAGAGCCTGGAGTCTGCTTCAGATTCTGTGTCTCCCTCTTTCTTTACCCCTCCCCTTGTCTTGCTCTGTCCATCTGTCTGTCTGTTTCTCTCTCTCTCTCTCTCAAAACTAAATAAACTTTAAAAAAATTCAAAATAATGCTCATTATAAACTCTTCTTCCCTTTGAACCTGGGAGATTTTTTCTGACCAAACTGTTATCGAACTATAAACTTATGTTAAAGATAAAAAATGGAACTGTTCTTCAAATATATAGGTTAATATAAGGTTGGTACAGACATATAGACCAGTGTATTAGATAGTCCAGAAATAGCTCCCCTATATGATCAATTGATTTTCAACAGTTATTCAGTGGAGAAAGGACAGTCTTTTCACCACATGGTTGTAGGAAAACTGGAAATTCATATGCAAAAGAATGAAGTTGGGCCCTTACCTAACACCTTATATAAAAATTAACTTAAAAGAGATCAAAGACCTAAACATAAGAGCTAAAACGATAAAATTCTTAGAACAAAAAACAGAGTACTTTATGATATTGGATTTGGCAATATTTCTTCGATGTGTCATCAAAACCACAGATAACAAAAGAAAAATAAGTAAATTGAAACGCATCAAAATTAAAAACTTTTGTGCATGAAGGACACTATTAACAGAGAGAAAAGACCACCCATGGAATGGAGAAAATATTTACAAATCATATACTTGATAAAGGGTTAATATCCAGAATATATTTAAAATATTCAACAGCTTAAAAACCAAGCAATCTTTTTAAAAAGTAGGCAAAGAAAATCTTTTCTTAATATGAAAAGATTATCATATTGTTGAGTTTTCTTAAATGCTCCCAAACAGTAGTATGTAGTACTGAGGTGTACAAGTGGGGGGAGAGAGAGAGACAGATGGGGAGAGAGATTGAGGAAGAGAGGGAGTGACTGGTGGTTTTATTAAGACAAAATATTTTTTTTTTAAAGTTTATTTTGAGAGAGAGAGCTTGAGTGAGGGAGGGAAGGAGAGAGAGGGCAAAGAGAGAGAATCCCAAGCAGACTCCATTTCAGTGTGGAGCCGACATGGGATTAGATGTGGAACTGTGAGATCATGACCTGAGCAGAAACCACGAGTCAGACACTTAACTAACTGAGCCACCCAGGCTCCCCAAAGCAGAATTTTTTTTTTTCTTTCAGGTGGGTACTTTTGGATAATGAGACAGGAAAGGAGGTGAACCAGGAGATTTCTGGGAAAAGTTTTCTTGCTCTTGAGGAGCATATAGCAGAAAGTACCGTCCCAATTTATTCTAATAAATACCGTGTTTGAATGTAATACCTTAAACTATGTGGTCATCTTATACTATGAGAAAAACCAGCCCTAGGATGAAGTAGCTTGTGAATATAGTAGAACGGAGAAATGGAAGGAATCTTAGGCCTTAATAATATGTTCAAGCTGCTTATGTCATTGGGCATGGATACTTTCTCTCTGGGTTTTTTTTTATTATTATTAATTTTTAAAGCTTATTTATTTATTTTGAGAGAGAGAGAGAGAGAGAAAAGAAAAGCACCAGCAGGGAAGGGGGAGGACAATGAGGAAGAGAGAGAATCCCAAGCAGGCTCTGCACTGTGAGCATAGAGCACTGATGTGGGGCTCGAATTCACAAACCATTAGATTATGACCTGAGCTGAAGTCAAGGGTCTAACGCTTAACTGACTGAGCAACCCAGGTTCCCCCATCTGCACTTTTTAAATTGAGATCATTTACTTCCTTGTTTAAGCCAGTTTGATTTGGAATTCTGTTATTTGAATTCAGAAACATCCTAGCTGATATGAGGCATTTCAGAAACATAAACTGTTACCAAAGAATTAGCTTTTACAGTTGGTGCAAGTTATTTTAACCTTGAATTAACAGACTTACATTAAATGTCACAATAGTGTCATCTTACCTTTTACTAATGTTTTACTGGTTGCTTTTACTTTTGATGCCATCAAGTTCTAGAACTGTACAGTATGCAGTAGAATCAAATGGAAATAAATACAAAGTGCTCTTTATATGACAGTTTTCTATTTGGTATTTTCTATTTTCCCTTGTTTGTGCATTTTTCAAAATTCTAGGAATTGTACATGAAAAATTAAAAAAAAACACTTTACATTTTAAATAAATCCCTTAATTATGTACATCTTTTTGAAGAGAATTTTGGAAGATCTCAACTGTATATTAGATGCTTTTGTTTATAATTAACAACAACAAAAAAAAAAACAATTTAAACTGGCTCTGTGTTAAAAGGAATCTATAGGCTTATATAACTAAAAAGCTAACGGCATGTTACATTTCAGGTAAAGCTTGATCCAGCAGCTTAATTGTATCACTAAGGACTCTAGTTCTGTCTGCCTTTTTATTCTTTTCATAATTCCATAGTATCAGCTTTATTCCAATGCTGGCTCTTTCCATGGTGTTAAAAATGGTCATCACAGTTTGGGCTGTGTGCTTTCTTCATTTGAATCCAGCAAGAGGAGTTTTCCCAATATTTCATTTTCCAACATTGGAAACAAAGTCACAGGCTTCGTTCTGAATAGACCAATTTAGGTCACAAGCTTATCCCCAAGTCAGTCACTGTAGGTAAGAGGATGGAAATATGCTTATGGTTTAAGCTACCGATAGCTACATTTGGAGGTGGGGGTGAGGTCAGTCCCATTCAGATTATATGCTGATATATACGGCAGAAAGTTGGGGGCAGGGTAGCCTACAAAGTCCATTGTATAGGGAATAGAAAAGGAGGTAAGCCATCTCCTCTGCCAAATATCACTAGATAGTATTTCTGTGTTTTTATTTCATTGTTACATTGTTTTCCTTTTTGTTTTTGTCTCATTAGCAAATTGTTTGCGACAGAAAACTATTTGGCAGCTATTAATGCGTATAACTTAGCCATAAGACTAAATAACAAGATTCCACTATTGTATTTGAATCGGGCTGCTTGCCACCTAAAACTAAAAAACTTACACAAGGCCATCGAAGATTCTTCTAAGGTATATATATTTATTTATATATGTTGCTTTAAAATTGTTATCCTCTTACTGGGTTAAACGATGTCTTTAATCTTTTTTTTTATTTATGTAGTTATGCAAAGATTAAAACAGTCATCTTGTTTTGTTTTTCTACTGAAAATAAAAAGACTGTTTTTGAATAGACAAAGAACTGGTGTTTTTTTGAGATTTCAAGTTTAATTAGAAATCCCCATCTATTGCTCCTATATTTCCTTGGTGTTTCAGTTGAAGTTCACAAGGAGATTAGTAAATGCTTGTCAGTTTGTGCTTACCCTTTTTCTTATTAAAGTTTTTCAGACTTAATGCAAGGTTGAAGGAAGAAAACTTGGTATTCTCTTGTTATCACTACCACTTGCCCAGTAGGATAGCTTCCTAATAACTTCCCGATTTTCAGAGTAACTTAGTATATCCTAATTTCATTACTAATATCATATCATTATCTTAAACTTCTAGTTTTTTCTCTTTTTTCCATATTCAAGTAAACTGTCTTAAGGGAAAATCACATGCGAAATCTCTTATGTCACTCCTTGAGATTGAAAATATGGAGGAAATAACCAGATCCTCATAATTTGATCTTATTAAGCTATTAAAAGATCTGGCAATATTTTTAGGATCCAGCTTTCCTTTTATTAGCACAATTCTGGGCATACATATTTATTGAATGATTGAATGAACTGAATTGCCCAATTTGAATTTTTATAAAAGACCTCCAAATGCTCTTTAATCATTCCTGCTAATAAAGATAAAACTGTAGAGGTTTCAAATGATAAACCAAAGATAACTTTTGGAGAGAGGGTATGAAACTTGTATAAGAACAATTGAATAATTCTTTAAATTGTTCAAACAAATATAAGTATTTGATACATTTCTATACAAGTTAAGCCCAAAATTTCGGTGGGTAAAGACTTGAGGCCTGTCTCAAAGTAAAGATTTTTACCATGTTTTTGCTCAAGTTTAAAATTAGGAAATTGTCTTTCCCTGATTTTATTTTGTAAGGCACTAGAATTATTCACACCACCTGTTGCAGACAATGCTAATGGAAGAATGAAGGCACATCTACGACGTGGAACAGCATTCTGTCAACTAGAATTGTATGTAGAAGGTAAGAAATTGATAGAAATGTTTTAAGTTCCAAGTTATACTCTGAAAAAAGTATCACTGTGATTAAGATCATAACTTTTTAGCACTCCACTGTTGTATTTTTTTAGCATTTAATATATTCTTTGCAACTTATCTGACAAAAAATGATTTTGAAATATTTAAAAATTTATTGTTGTAGAAGGGAGTTAAAACAAGATGTAAACAACTAATTTAGGTCTAGGAAAGTGCTGTAGTATCAGACAACTTTTCTATGGAAAGATATGTGATAAAGGATATAAATGATTCACTTAAGGAATGATGGTAATTTAAAATGAACTGCTATGGTTATACAGGTGCACACACACACACACACACACACACACACATACACACACGCTCAGAAATAACTGATCTACCACCGGGTATGATCATTGCTTATATTTGTGGAACTGTACTAAGGTTTGTAATTCAGCCTTGTGGATAGAAGCCATAACACTAATTTTTTATTGTTTTTCATTTTTAATATGTTTAGGGACTATTTTGCAGTTACTCATTTTGCTCCAAAGGCAAAATTTTATAGTACTTAGTGTCTTATTTTTAATGCTCTTCTACCCATACTTCTGTACCCAGAGGACCATTCAGCTTTCCTATATTCAAGGCCTAAAGGCATACTCCCTGATGATGCCTTGCAGGGAATGTGCTAGTCCATAAGGTCTTATTAACTCTTTGTTTTTAAACTTGTTTCTGACATTTTTAGATTTTTCTTTTCTAAAATTAAAAAAAAATTTAATTTTTTTTTGAGAGAGAGCATGCATGTGTGCACAGGGCAGGGGCAGGGAGAGAGAGAGAATCCTGAAAAGCTCCATGTGCAGCACAGAGCCTGATGCAGGGCTCAATCTCATGACTTAAGGTGAAATCAAGAGTCCTCTGCCCAACTGACTGAGCCACTGAGCACCCATATGAGATTTATATGCCCTATCCTTTTTATTCTTCTAATGTTTTATTCAGCTTTGTGAAGATAACAATTATCAACACAGGCATGAAACATTTTAAAGCATTCTTTAAAACTTACAGCACCATAGACTTTCTAAGCTAAAAGTACTCTTCATTTTAAAGATGAGAAAATGGAGGCTGAGAGAAGTTACGTGATTTACCTCGAGTGGTATGGCAAATCAGTAGCACTTAGAACTCAACTTTCCTTATTCTCAAAGAAAGTTTCCCACTGCTTATTTTGGCAAAGATTTAGACTCATTTGTATATTTAACAACCAACCCACAATGCTTTCCTTTTAAGCCAGTTTTTCTCAAAAGAATTCTGTAGATATGATAGCTTTAGAATAAACCATATAGTCTATGAATTATATAAAGAGTTGATTGAGTCTACCAACATTATTTTTTAATCTAGAATTATTTTAATATTTTTTAATGTTTATTTATTTTTGAGAGAGAAAGACACAGAGTGAGAGCAGGAGAGGGGCAGAGAGAGAGGGAGACACACAATCTGAAACAGGCTTCAGGCTCTGAGCTGTCAGCACACAGCCCATTGTGGGGCTTGAACTCATGAACCAAGAGATTGTGTGTATGAGTCTGTTCATGTTTTAATGAATTTAAGCTGTTAGCTTATTTGTACTTGAATTTAAAATAACTGCTTCTGAGATGCCTGGCTGGCTCAGTTGGAAGAACATGTGACTCTTGATCTTGACTCCACATTGGGTGTTGAGATTACTTAAATAAAATTTTAAAAACCTTAAAAAAAACTGCTTCTTACTGAATCCTGAGTGAACCTAGTATAATTATTTCTGAAATCACTGAAAAATTTCTGTAGTTTTTTAGAAATACTACATAGAGATGCATATATGAAAATGAGAATCTAATTGAAACCCAGGACTTGTCCTGAACCATGTTCTAATTGGTTTTTTTTATTAAAAAATATTGTCTAGATAACACAAGTATTTTTAAAATACTGATTTTATTGACTGTCATTCCTATATAAATATAGGCCTACAGGATTACGAAGCTGCACTTAAGATTGACCCATCCAATGAAATTGTACAAAATGATGCTGAGAAGATTCGGAATATAATTCAAGGAACAGAACTAAAATCTTAATGACTGGTGAAGCAACTAGGTATTGTACTAAATTTTGTTTGAAGTTTTTCAAAAATAACTGGAGGCATTAGGAATCTTTGTAAATATTATGGCTGATTGTGCAGAATCACTTTCTCTTTAGTTCTCTTGTTCTGTAGAGGACAAAATATTATAAATTCATTGAAAATGAAATGTTTGAGTTGAAGGGTTTCTGAATAAGTAAATCAAAACAAGAATGATTTCCTTCTTTGCTGCTTCAATACACAGATTAATTATATATATATATTGTTGTTACTAAATTCAGCTTGCTCTTATAACTAACCAAATATTTGTTGATGTGATGAGTATTAAGACACTGATTCATTTTTGACAAGGTAAAGTTTGAAAATAAAAGACCACGTTTATAAATTTTAAAAAAAATTAAATATACTACTTAATTGTCTGAGTGGTTGACTTTGGTATAATCAATACTAATGTTCACTTAGTTTTCAGTGCCCAGAACTTTTTTTCCCCTTTAATACTGTTTAATACCTGTTGTGGGAGGTTAGACCAGTTCAACCTAGCAGAACAGCTGTTTGGGACACCTTGTTTTCAACTTCAGGTATAGGCATTGTTCCCCAAAGCATTGATCATATTTCATACTATCTGATGAAGGTAAGTTTTCTAGTAACTTCAAGTACAATAGGAAAAAGAAAAAAAGACCGCAAAAGCTGAAATGTTAACACCGAATATTATGATACTGGCATCTGATTACACCACCATACAGTGTTGTATCACTGTGATGATGCAAGCATTAAGCAAAAACAGTACAGCTTCCCTTTTGCACACAGTAGTTATCACAATTGTTTAGATTTAGAGGAGTTTTAGGAAAACAATTTTTTAGAAACAAGATTTTATAACATTTGGTAATCTGATGTCATTCAAAGGGACCATAAAACAGTTTCATTCTTTTTTTTTTTAACACCATATTCTTTTTGAATGGGTAAGGGTAGTTCAGCAACCTTGAGACTTACTTTCATAAAACAATGTTTGATAACTTACATAGCAGCCTTGTCCAGTTATTAGACCTTCTAATAAGGCAGGATTGCTTTTACTTATAATCAATACTGGTTCATTTGTTTTTATTTTTAAAAATAAGTGTTACCAAAATAAAGATGGATCTTCATGTGTGTCAAATACCGGTTTGATGGTCAAAATATGTTAACTAACCTAGTGCTTCTTCAGGCTCTTCCTACTACTATCCTCTCTCCTTGCCCCTCAAAAAATACTGGGCCCAATAGCTGCCCTAAGGGCAAAAGATCTATCCTTGGAGGAATATAAGGGATAGTCTTAACTATCATATAGTTGACTATAAAAATATAGTCAAACCATATTTTTGACTCTATCCTGTAAATAAAGTCTTGGTTTAAATGCAACAAATAAATTTGTATTCACGAAACACTTGACCTCTTTTGAGCAATCTCCAGTGGTTTACAAGGGGCTTTTGTCTTAGATTGAAGTAGTGACAGAGTTGAAATATTGATACAACATTCCCATTTCCTTTTTGATAAAAAAAAAAAAAAAATACCTCCCAACTAATAGTGCTAATTATTATCAAGGCTTATGAATAAAATATAAGAAAAAAATTTATAGTCTTATCTGGCCTCATGATTTTAAATAATACCTTTGTGTGGATTTTGTTCAAATGGATTATATTCAACATGGGCTTCTCGCCTGAACTCCAGACTACATATTCAGTTGTCTCACAACAGCTCTACTTTCCCCAGAGATTGTCTTCACTTCCTTCAGGGGTTTGGTCAGACATCAACTTATCAGAGACCTTTCCAGACCAGTCTACCAAAAATAACTCCTTGCCCAAGCCTTCCCTTTCCCCACCCTATTTTATTTTTTTCCCCATAACGTTTATCACTTGCCATTATATATATGTATCACTTATATATGCAAATCTATACATGTATATACATGTAAATATATGCCTATATATATAACATGTATGTGTAACAGGTAAACATAAACATATATTTATATATATAAATATGGTACATAAATATGTATATGTACTTACACACATATATCTATACATATGTGGTTTGTTTGTTTTTTAAGTGTATTTACTTATTTTGAGAGAGTGAGAGAGAGCGAGGCAAAGGGAGAAACAGAATCCCAGGCAGGCTCCACACTGTCAGCACAGAGCCCAACACGGGGCTCAAACTCATGAACCGTTAGATCATGACCTGAGCCAAAATCAAGAGTCAGCCACTTAACCTACTGAGTCACCCAGGTACCCACCTATACATGTTTTTTGGTCTGTTTTTCCCTACTGGAATTTACTAGAATGTAAGCTCCATGAGGGGCAGGCTCTTAGTGCCTAGAATAGTCCCTGGACTTTAACAGGCACTAAATGACTACATAGTAGCATTCCAGACATTGTGCTTGATTCTGAGATATTCATCCTATCTGAGAATTTTAGCAACAGCCAAACAAAAAAGGGCCTAATCACCTGCCACAGTAAGAATCGTTAGGTTAATATCTAGATTTCTAAATTTTATTAAGTTGACTTCACTTGTCACAAATGAGTACCTACAGTGAAGGGGAAAACAGGTTATATAGATTTTGTGAGGAAAAGGCACCTAAACTCAAGGTTTTTTAATTTGCATTATTCACCTCAATATCTTGCACAATGCCTGAATTTTTGGTGTTTTAGGCGAAGTGAACAAAACTAATTTTTCTTTTTGTTTGTCATTATCAAATATCAAATTTTGTGGTATTTGGGAAAATCTCATGAGGCAGAGTTTGAACTATTTTCTCACATCAAACCATTTATTTTATAAATAGAAGATACAACTTTTATGATCCCCTAGCAACTCAAGATTATTTTTAATTGATGTTAATATCCTCAATCTGAAACTAAGAGGAAAAAATAAGAGCAGTGATTTTTTTTAATAAAGGTACTCAGATGCAAGTGTGGTTTCAACAGATGGCAGCTGAAATAAATAAATCTCTGTATACAGTGGAATTACATAGTTTGAAGAAGAGTATAGTCTGTTGTCCACCACTACTTACACTGTGTTAAGGATATATATATAACTTTATTTGCATTTATAAAAAACATACCATCTCTCTTACATCTTTGTTCTTCTATGTATTGCTTCTTCTTCCTCTACTGATCTTTCCTTTGATTTGGTTTTACTTTCTCCAGGATGCTTCTCCTGATGTCCTTGGTCTCAATTTGAGCCATTCTGTCTTTGTGTTTGAAATACCTTTTCATAATTTACATAAGTTGTAACACTTTATTAATTTGCTAATCTCATTCCCCTAAAATATTATACATTGAAACAATAAAAGATACTGTCTTTTATTTCTGTGTTCCGTTTGCATTAGATAGTGCCTGTCATTAGCAGGGGCTCTATAAATACTTGCCAGATGAATGAATGAATAGCAGGTCCTCTCTTCTACCAGCCTAGCAGTTGGAACTAACATTCCCCCAGGTTCTAAGCTATTAGTTGAAATAACAGAAAACTGGGAAATTACTGGTCAGTCTTCCTTAATTCACTTTTTTTTCTTAGTGCTCCTGTGTCCCTTTGTCTTGTTAAATATACTCAGTGGACAATTTTGGAGAACATGTACTAAATAACATACTAAATGTGTCTACTTTTTATTCTATTTTGAACACATTTTTATTTAAGAACTCACTGTCATTCAGTTATCAGTTCAAATGCTTTATTTCTTAAAAGTATTCTTTTAACTGATTCACATGCTTTTCTAGTTCAAACTTGGTACTCTAGCCTTGGTTTAAAAACTCACTTGTCCTGAGTATATTTTCTTAAATATACAAAGGAATATTTTTTCACAAAGTGTGTTGATAATTAGGAAAATCAAGGGTTCTGGTTCTGTCCAGCGCAGTGTTTAGAGTGTTATTTTGATAAAATCCGGTAGCTCTGATATGGCTTGAAAATACTTGCTCCTTTGGAGTATAATTGCAAGGAAAAAATTGTGGTATAGGTAAAAATTCACCATAATTACTTGAATTGGTTTTATACATAATCATCTTAGGTTTTGATAGAGAGGTAGCTGTATGGAGTGTCTTTGGGTCCAACATACATGAAAACACAGGATTTCCAGGGTTCACACAAGGGGGATTTTTTTCAGGTTTCATTTCCATATCTGAATTTGAAGCTGAGGCACTTTTCTTGTCCTAAAATATAAAGATATAAAATCATTTTCAATTATAAAGTTTTGGGGAAAAAAAACTTAAACTTAGTACCAACCTTGTCTTATACCACTCACAAAAATTAACTCAAAATGAATTAAAGACTTAAATGTAAGACCTGAAACCATACAGCTCCTAGAAAAGAACACAGGGGAAGTGCTGTGTGATTTTGTTCTTGGCAGAGAGTTTTTAGATATAACATCAAAAGCATAAGCAACAAAAGCAAAACTAACAAGTGAGACTGCATCAAACTAAGAAACTTCTGTACAGCAAAAGAAGCAACAGAATGAAGAGACAACCTAGAGAATTGGAGAAAATATTTGCAAACCATATGGATAAAGGGTTAATATTCAAAATATACAAGGAACTCATACAACTCAGTACCAAAAAAGAATCTGATTAAAAATTAAGATGTCCTGAATAGACATTTTTCCAAATAAGACATACAGATGTCCACCAGGTACATGAAGAGGTGTTCAACATGATTAATCATCAAAGAAATGCAAATTAAAACTACAGAGATATATCACCTCACTGTTAGAATGGCTAGTGTCAAAAAGACAAGAAATAACAAATATTGGAGAACATGTGAAGAATAGGGAACAATTTGCACTGTTGGTGAGAATGTAAATTGGCATAGCCACTGTAGAAAACAGTATGGAGGTTCCTCAAAAAATCTTGAAGAGATATTTGCACTCCCATGGTCATTGAAGCACTATTCACAATAGCTAAGAAATGGGAACAATCTTAAGTGTCCCATTAATGCATGAATGGCTAAAGATGTAGTATACTATATTCTCATGTATACATACACACATGAATATTAATCAGCCATAAAAAGGAAGGAAATTGTGCTATTTCACACAGCATGGAAGCCATTATGCTAAATGAACTCAGATAAAGAATATTAGATTCTCACATATATATGAATATAAAATTTTAAAAAGTAAAACTCATTGAAGAGTGCCCAAGCTGCTCAGTTGGTTGAGTGTCTGACTTGGGCTCAGGTTGTGAGCTTAGGGTTCATGAGTTCGAGCTCCACATCAGACTCTGTGCTGACATCATGGAGCTTGCTTGGGATTCTGTCTCTTTCTCTCACCCCTCCTCTGCTTGCTATCTCTCTCTCAAAAATAAACATTAATAAAATTTCTTTAAATAGAAAAGTCTAATTCATTGAAACAGAATAGTGATTGCCAGGGGATGGGTGATGGGGGAAAGAGATATCGGTCAAAGAGTACAAACTTACAGTTATAAGAAGGATAAGTTCAGGGGATCTAATGTATAGAATGGTGAGTATAGTTAACATTACTGTATTATTTATTTGAAAGTTGCTAAAAGAGATATTAAATGTTCTCACTACAAAAATAACCTTAATTATGCAAAATGATCATCAAAACAAATAAATAAACATTATAAAAAATAGATGTACTTGTGGCTAGTTATAATCTTGAAAAATAAAAAGATGCTACAAGTTGAAATTAACCTGAATTAAAATGTTTTCCTCATAATTACATCCCTAAAAGCTACCTTTTTATTCAACAGTACTATAAAATCATATTCAATTAACTCTTCAGTCAACTGTTAATGTTCTACTTGAAGAGTGCCCTTAATAAACTTTTTGGAAGTATTTTTCTGTGAATAAGGGATTTAAAAATCTGAATCAAGTTTAGTGAAAAGAGCACTGGAGTGCTGGTTCTGGTCTCCTGGACTTGCTGGAAATGTGAGAACCTACGTAAGTCTGATTCTCTATGCTTCAGTTTCCTGTTTGTAAAATAAGAGAGGCTGGATTATTTGTTCTTTTAGATATCATCTAATGACTCCCTTTATCCCATGGAACTGGTAAAGTTTGTAAATTTATAGTTTATAAAATGAGGTAGTATCACAAAGTAGTATACTATGTTCTCATGCTGTGCCTCATTTTAATGATATTCATAAGGCAAAGTAACTTTTCAGAAGAGCTTCTTTAAATAATTTTGAGAAATCTTTTGGATCTTCTTGAAAATCCAATCCAAGAGCACTTGTTTTGCTGCTGGATTTGCATAACTGGAAAAAGCCTTTTTCTTATTGTAAATTTCCCTATTGCAGACATACTTGTTAGAGGTGAAATTGCTGTTTGCTTTTTTTTCTTAAATTCTCCAGGTTAACTATCCATTTCTTTAAAGACTGACATTGTAATTGACAAAGGTTTCAAGTGTTTGGTTATCGTTCTGTTGTCTCAGTGTCTTGAGCTGAGAGCCTTTAATATTTGGCTTCAGAAAAACTTCATTGGTCAGTTCTTGAGAATTAAGCCATTATTTTATGAATATTTATCTCGTTAGAACCTCCAGCTACCACTGACCCAGCCACCTTTAAGGTTTGTTTCATTCCTTTGATTTTGCTAATCAGGAACAAAATCTTAGTAGTGCTTTACTACCTACTAATAACATGGAGAAGTTATCTGAAACTAAAAGTCCTTTATCTATAGTCGTGTTGTTCTCTTGTACAGTCCTTCTCTTTTATGTACATATGAAATACACAGGAATCTGGTTAAAAACTAGATTCTGACTCAGGTCTGGGGTAGGGCAAAGATTCTGCATTTCTAACAAAGTCCTAGGAGATGCTTAAGCTGCATCTTAGATGCAGCTGGGAGATACGCAAAGGAGTGTCGGTAGAGAGAAAGGGCCATAATCATACCTGCATGGCTTATACAAGAACATGTCAACAGACTAGTTGGGAAACTTGGTATTTGTGTACCTTCTGCTTTAAGAGTTGTAAAGAACACCTATTAGGTGTCACCAGTTATTTGTTCTGATATTAGCACTGATAGCTAGATGACTGGCAAAATTATTTTACAAGAATTCAAGTTCCTTGTCTATAAATATAAAGGAGATGGATTAGATGGCTGTTTCCTAATCTGAGAACTCAGATATCAGGACCCTCCAAATGTAGCAATAGCTACTGGTAAAAAACAAAGTTCAACAAAGTAAAATTGAAGATCTAATTGGCTTTAGTAAGCAGTTATGAATCAGGCAGCATCCCATCAAGTAAGTGGAGGGTAGCTCTGAGGAGTGGTACAAAATGGAAGGTTTTCATAGGAAGGATAAATTACTAGCAAAAGAAAAGACTGTTTCAGGCAAGGTCACCTTCCTCTAGGGGAAAGGACAGAGGGTTTTATCATGCAGATTATCTCATTTTCCTTTGGGGGAGGGAGAGGGTGGGCCAAGGTGACAGATCACCTGATTGGTGCTGACTAGAAAAATTCCAGATTGATTGGCTTAAAATTCCTCTTATGGAGTGGCTGAAACTGCAATTAAGTCTTGGTTTGCTGTCCTGGGGGCAAATGATTCTACCTTGGCCCGAGGCTTTCTTTTTAACAGAGCTAAGGGATACTGTTCAAAAAGCATAAAGGGATATGCATATTTGCTAGTGATAAGGCCCTTTATTTGTCATAAGACTGTTAATAAGTACAGTTCTGTGGTATCCAAATAGGCAAAACATTTTGGTTAGTTTAAAAATACAAAAATAAAAATATTTGGCAGTTTCTGGAATATTTAAAATCTAAATCCTTCCAGATTAGAAGTTATGTTATGATATCTAAATAACTTCATGGTAGTTGACAGGGTACTGTAACTGTTTTTTTAAAGGTTGTATTAAATAGAAGATTGTTTATGTATCATATGTAAATTAGTAAGAAACAAAACAAAAAACTGCCATAGTTCTGTGGCTCTGGAGATAAAATGAAATAAAATTGGATGTAATAATACAAATGGAATCAGTTTTTATCATTTTCTTTCAGGTTTACCTCAATGCATATGGATGATGTTCCAGAATTCAGTTCCAAAGTTAATAACACTAAATTAGTATAGTAGTTTACTAATACATCATATTCATGATCTTTTTTTTTTTTTTTTTTTGAAAGAGAGAGAGAGAGGATCCCAGGGGAGGGACGGAGAGAGGGAGAATCCCAAGCAGGCTCTGTTCTGTCAGCACAGAGCCCCATAAGGGGCTTGATCTCATTAACTATAAGATCATGACCTGAGCCGAAATCAAGAGTTGGACGCTCAACAGACTGAGCCACCCAGGTGTCCCACTATATTCATAATCTTGTAGGAAGTTGGCAAAGCTGGAAGTAGACCATATCAGATCTTGCTACATATTCTTTGTGACACTGCCTGTTAATTAAAAAATATATATATCAACAGTATAGACACTGCATAATAGCAAGTCATCAGAATCCTACAGTACCTCAACACGTCACCTTTTTCCAAATGTGTAGATTTCTGGGGGTACCTGGGTGGCTCACTTGATTAAACCTCTGACCCTTGATTTCAGCTCAGGTCATGATTTCCTGGTTCATGAGTTGGAGCCCTGAGGTGGGCACTGCAGTGTGGAGCCTGCTTGGGATTCTCTCTTCCCCCTCTCTTCCACTCAAGCTTGCTCTCTCTTAAAATAAATAAATAAACTTAAAAAAAAATTTTTTTTTTACTGTATAGGTTTCTGGAGCACAGGAAAAGCTTCTTAAGTGGAAGGTGGCTTCCCTGTAACTTGCAGGAACCAGTAGCAACCCTAATATACTTTATGGACACCCAGTCAGGTTGCCCATAGCAACCTCCGTCACAGAGTACTCTCATCAAATCACTTTCTACTAAATTCTGATCATCTTTGGCCCAAAATAAAATACAGAAAACCAAATCCATTCAAACCAGAAGACAAACTTTGTTGGCCAGATTTGTACCACACAATCTGGAAATGTTAAGTGTCTACCTAAATCTTTTAGACTTCCAAGATAATTAACAAATGTTAATAGACTTAGAAACAAAATACTCAAGGGGTGCCTGGATGGCTCAATCTGACTCTTGATCTCTAACTCTTAATCAGTCTAAGGAACTGACTCTTGACCTCTGCTCAGGTCATGATCCCATTTGTGAGATGGAGCCCCAAGTCAGGCTCTGTGCTGACAGTGTGGAGCCTGCTTGGTATTCTCTCTCTTCCTCTCTCTATCCCCCCTGCCCCTCCCTCAAAAATAAATAAACTTTAAGAAAATACTCATTGCTTTTACTTTATGTCATAGGCCTCACTGCAGTTTTCTTATTTGGGTTTCACCCTCTTAAAATCTGATATCTTTAAAACAGAGAGTTCAAACTAGATACAGTTAAAAACATACAGCCTAAAACAAAGAATAACAAAAGGATTATTTTAAATGCTTTGCCAGGTTACACAGCAAATATCACTTAAGGATGAAAAGGTTAATTAAAATTCTAAATGATTCTTCTAAAATTGATTATCTTAAAATTAGACTGTGAAATTGCTTTGAAAAGAAAAATCTATAAACAGATGGTATTAGCTTTCTAATTTTCAGTCTCCCCTGGAATAACAGAAAGCCAAGCCACTGACTTTTCAAAGTTCTTCATTATAAACACATGCACATTTTCAAAAAGATAAATAATAAGCTCTTGAGTAATGCCCTTTATGGAAGCTGTAATTGTAAAATTAAAAATCATGTTTTCTTTTTTGGCTCATGGCACAAATGATGTTAATTATAGTAATACCAAAAGCAAACAAAAAAACCCTCCAAAAGTCAAATTCTGAGGTCCCTTTTTCTTTCCGTGCAGGCCCATCGTCTTCCTTGTTAATGTTTTTATTTAATTATTTTTTGCCACAATTGAGGGACAAAAACCTTAACTTTAACCTTAAACCTTAACTTACTGCTTCCACCAACAATAAACGCAAGGGCACCATATCCTTTTTTTTGCCCCCCATCCTTTTTAAATAAGTCACAGCGTAAGAATGTAAAATTAACAAGGTACACTTTTTTCATTTAAAGCCATCACCGCACAGTCTGCAATGGCGTACGAGTTGCACACCATCCCCAATCATTTTTATATTTTCAGAGGCAATTCTGGGTCAATGCAATGCACAATCACATCTGTGTAGCCCAGTGGTTCCCTAAAAAGGAGTGTGGGGGCGGGGGGGGGCAAGCCCAAATTTACAGCAAGGAGTACCAGCCGGCAAAAACATTCAGCCCTCTGTCCAGACCCACCCAGTCATACTCGGTCATTCTCGGTATCTTCCTTAGTTTTTCGGCAAACGCAGTTTTTCCTGGTAGCGGAGGGCAAGACCAGCGAGCGCCCAGGGGACGCGGCCTTTTTACTACACCCAGTTAAAGCAGCGAAGAGAACGTGATATGTCGGCTGAATCAATAGGTATCGACTAATCCGCCTAATCCAGACAGTAACCCTCGGGGTGAAACCGCGAGTCCTTTAGTGTGGTAGGAGCAGCCCGTCTCCATAGCAACCGGCCGCGGCGCCTCTCCAACGCCGGGGCCCGGATGTTGTGAGGATCGCCGCTGCCCCGCCCAGCTTCCTGCAGCCTGAAGGCGGCGGGCTGCGCTCCTCTTCGGGAGTCGTAGTTCTTCCCTCCTCGGGCGCCAGACATGAGGTGCGGGAGGGACTACGAGTCCCGGCAGGCGTTGCGTTGCCCCGCCGGCTGCCGCCTCCCGGCTGCGGACGCCTGCGAGCAGGTTGTTGTTTTTAAGAGAGGCGTCACTGTGGTCGGAACTGTGACCGCCGCCACCGCGACAGTCAACGCAGTCGAGCGGAGGTGGCGCTAGTCTTTCAGGTACGGCCCTAGGCGGGTTGGGACCCTGGGAGAAGAGTCGCGACCACCGGTCTGGGTCCTGACCGGCATCCTAGTCTGGAGGCAGAGGCGGGGTCTTCTCTGAGGCTGGGGCTGCTCGGGACAGAGGGCTCCTCCGGAGGGGGCCGACTCCTGGAGCCTGGCTTGTGCAGGCGCACGGGCGGTCTCGGAACGCGAGTCCGAAGCCCCCTAACCTGAGCCGGCCCTTGAGGCGTCGGGTCGGGAGGTCCTGCAGTCTCAGATCCCCACTGCAGACCCGAACGGCGTGTCCGGGGCGCGGGGAAGCTGATGTCCCGGGGAACCCTCCCTCCTTCACCGAGCTTGCTTGGGGCGCTTCTTGGTCTTGACTGTTGGGTATCCATATGGTGAGATGTTACGTGCGTCACCCGGCCGGGTTTTTCAGCCGGCCCTTCTTTTTTGGTGACGTTTGAGCCCCGTGATGCCAGGAATAGAAAGATTAAATATTAAATAATGCAGTTGAGATTTCTGCCTATACGCCAGTCTGACAACGATCAGATCCCCTTCCTTATCCTCTCCGTATCCACCAGCCCACTGTAGCATGGTCTTCCTAATAACTCCTCTGTAGCAGCTGCCCTCCCAGTTGCTTGTATGCGTTACATGTTTATCTCTGTTAATGAATGCAGCTCTGCCATTGGGAACGCCAATCGTAACGAACTCAGTAAATTAACGTACTTTGTTGAGTGGGTGAAATTTGCACTGCTTCACAATTGCTTTATTTAAAAACGAAGTGAAGCTTTCTTGTAGTTAGAGTAGGTTAACTACTTGAGTCCTGCGAATTTTAGATTTGCCTCCTCCAGTAAGGTTACATCCATTGGATAGCGCTTGAAATGTTTTGTTAGCGCTTCATAGTTTTAAGGTTTGAATCTTATTAGGTTCCACATTTCCCAGAGGGATCTGATTTATCACACCTTAAATGCTAGTTTGAATGGCTTAACTATTCTTTGTTGAGCTCTCATCATAAAGGTGAAGGGACGGAGTAAGGGTATTATTTTAATGCATAATTTTTAATCCTTTACGCTAAGAATAGGATTCTAATTAAATCATTAAAAAATCACACATAATATTCGAGGATGTGGGAAATACTACTTTGTAATGAGAACAGGTTAGAAAATAATGTAATTCTCATTTTGTAAACTAGAGCTAGAAGTGATCAGAAATAAGCTCAAAGGATAGTTATAAAAGTGAGTAGATGGTGAAACTACAGATGACTTTGTCTTTATACTTTCTGGTATTTTCCAAATTTTCTATGGGAAGGAACTTAATTAAGCAGCAATTCCAGTTATATAGACCTTTTAAAGATTACTTTAAAAAGCAAATAAGCAACAACAAAAAATACACAGAACTCCTGTTACTCCATCCACAGACTATATGAGTAACTATTTGAATGTAAATTATTTGTGCAGAAGGGGCATTAGGTCGATTAAAAGGGGAAGAAACCCTCACATGTGACAATAATTCTTAGCATTTGTATCTCATTTTTTAAAAAATCTGTTTCTGTTTTTTTACAGTAAAATCAAAGACAGAAGTGCTTAGTCTTTCATTTAGGCAGTACAGTCTTGATTATTCCTGTAAATCTAACAGGTGACAAAAGATGGGCATATTAATCTGAAAAGATTTGGAGATAGGAGAATTTTAAATTTATTACTTGTAAGCATTTGCCAGTGGAAATAAAGAACTTAAGCAGTAACAAAATGTGGGCTTTTAACATTTGTTTTCATTGAATCACATTGAGGACCATGTTTAATATGTCTGATATTTTAGATTATGCATACTTTTATTTTCTATTATGGATATGTTGGATATGGATGAGTAAGAAGCATATTATTTAGCCCACATTTTGTTTTCTGTCATAAAGAAAGGGTCATATCGGTCTTCTATAGGAATATTCTATTTTTGCAACTATCAGTCCTGAAAAATTGAGGTTTAAATTCAACTCCAAGTGTCCACTAACTGTTAATAAAATCATTCTGAAGCCCTTTTGTTGTTTTTCAAGCTATGGCATTCATATTTTATTTTCTTAGATTTTTGTTCTTTGGAGCTTTGCTTCTTCAAATTCCAATTCCTTTTCACTATTTTGTACTTGTTAATTTTGTATATTTTGTGTATTGTGTTGGCTCAGTATCTTATTAGATATTTGGTTCCATACACAAGACATAAGAAACATAACTGATTAACATCTTTTATTTACTAACTGGTTCCATGGTATTGTAGTCTAGATTGTGTAGTTGTATTCTTATCCAACTTAAATAAACATTTAAAAAAGCTAGGTGAGCCTGAACTGTTAAGATCCTAGAGCAGTAGTTTCTGACATGTAAAGAACATGGACACAGCAGCAGGGCCTGTTAAGCCCAGGATATTTTAAAACAGAAAATGCAGACTCATCTAACAATGCAGAACTACTAGAGGCTGGATTGTTTGCAGGTTATGTGTGGTTAGGTGAGGAAGTTGCCATAAAGTATGTGATAACTTCTATTTTCAAAAACTTCCTCGTGGCAGTTTTACAGTTTTGACTAGATTAAAACAATTTAGAGATAGGAGTGTGTTTCAAAGGACATGTCCAATATATAGTACCAGATAAACTTAAAAAAAGTTTTCAGTTTGAGTTCTAAGATGAAATTTAGCCCTATAATGTGAGAAGGATTGTAGTTAACTGATAAGTTTAGGGATTTTTTTTTTTTTTTTAAAGGGCTTCTTTGTGTGGAAAGCTGTTTAAGGAAGAGCCAGGGTTTTCTGAAGGAAGTATTAAAAATGAGTAAAGTGAGTCAAAGATGTTCCTCTTTCATGACAGGAAGTCAGAAATTTAATTTTTTTTTAGTGTTTGTCCATAAATCACAATCTAAAACTTTCTATTATGTTACCTTATTCATGTTACCATCATGATGAAATGTAAAAAGAGCATTGGATTGGGACTTAGGATGTTTAATGATGTTGAAGCACATAATTTATGCGTCTCTTTTGTTTCCCTGTGTACATTGTACCTCATAGCCAGTTGCCTTACTTCCTGGGGTACTTGTGAAGATCAGATCAGATATGAAAATGACATCCCTTTGTGAGTGGCTGAGTGGTCTATTAATGCATAGTATTATTGGTCTACATAAAGTACTATTTACATAAAAGTAGGTAATGCATTTGAAGTGTGATGATAACGTGATAATGTGTTTTTTGACTGGGAAGTTTGATGGAAAACAGTCAAATGGGCTATTACTTTGATATTTTGGTAAAGCTTTTGGCTTTTTCTAGTTTGAAGGAGACCTGGCCCCTTTCCTGACTGTGACTTTGCACTCTTTTGCATTGAAGGTCCTGAAACTTCAGTATGCTTTTATGGTTGGGCTTTTAATTTTGGTTTTGGTTTTGGTTTTAATTGCACATCTAAAGTATAAGGACATCAGTCTAACTTCTAACAGTAAGAAGTGGATGTTTTTTATGTCTAAATGTGTTTAATGTCCTAAAATGTTACTTTAAGTTGTTTTCATAACAGGCTTATAACAGTGAGCCTACACTGAATATGAAGTCGTAGGTCCTCTGAGAGATACACTGCATGTGTAAGCATTGGACTTTCAGAAATAGTTTACAGCTTTAGGTACCTTCTTCTGGGGAAGTCACTGCAGCCCATTACAGCATCTGACCCTTGAGATTAACTTCAAGTAAGGTGGACATACAGAATATTAAAGTTAAAATTTGTCTTTTTAGAAACTTTTCTGAGGACTTTATAAGAGTAAATATAAGTGAAAGTAAAAGACAAAGAAATACATTATGTATCCTGGGTTGGTAAAGACTTTATATAGTTAGTTGATAACTCCATATCTTTACTAATATTTTCAAATATTACTACTAAAAAGTAACAAATGGATGTTTATATATTTTAAAATGGAAAACAAGAAAAGTGTAAAATCCCTTTGTGTTTCATAAAATTAGGACAGGTTAAAAGAAAAATAGATATATGGTGAATATTTTTTAACAAGAAAAAATAATTTTTTAAAAAATTTGAGAATAAAGGAAAACAAAGAGGCAATACCCAGTAGTTTTTATGTATTCATTCATTCATTCTTTCGTTCATTCATTCATTCATTCATAAAAGGGGGAAAGGGGCCACCAGAGGCTCATTGTCCTCTGGAGCCAGGTCAGGTTTATTTGTTTATTTGTTGGCTTTATCAGACTCTTCCAGAATTAAGATATAACAATCTCAGAAAGCCAGGATTTTTGCTTGGAATGAGAATACTGGTGAAAGGAATGTTACATGTTAACAGGCATCTTCATTTCCCTATGGGAAACCTCATTTAAGGTTTGAATTTATAATGTTTTCTCTATTCCAAACTTTTTTTTTATTTCTGAGAGAGAGAGAGACAGCATGAACAGGGGAGGGTTAGAGAGAAAGGGAGAGACAGAATCTGAAACAGGCTCCAGGCTCTGAGCTAGCTGTCAACACAGAGTCTGACACGGGGCTCGAACCCACGAACCGTGAGATCATGACATGAGCCGAAGTTGGACGCTTAACTTACTGAGCCACCAGGCGCCCCCATTTCAAAGTTTTTATCAAAGGTATGGCTTCTTTTAGATTGAGGCAAAAATAGAATACTTTTTTTTAACTCTGAATATGGTAGTTGCTTTTGTTTCCCAATTTGAGGGATGTTACATCATAGAACGAAACTTGTGAAGAAATGTGTATTCATTCACTTCTTAGAGAATTTATTTTCTAGATCAAAAGGTTAATCTGCTATACATAACAGTGCTGGTGCCTCTTTCTGGGCATGGATAAAATGAAATTACTACTCTGTTCTAGATTTTTTCCCAGATACATATCTTTAGTGATAGATTTCAGTGTTTTAAATGAAATTCCACTCCATTAGAATTAGGAGAGGGTTACTTAACAAAGATCGATTATGTTTATCTTTGCATCCAGTAACATGATGAATATAGTAACCAAGAGGCAGGGCAGCCATAGGACCCGCACGTTAATGCTG